AGAGTAGATCAAGGAATGTCTGTATTTTGGTTTTCATACATGGATCCTGGCTTACAGCTGCTGTAATCCTTGTAATGTCCTAAGTGAGTGTCTTTTGTTAAAATATGTGGCCTTTTGACCTTGGTTCCCAACACTCCACAGTGATAAAGGCAAAAGACAGCCTTGTTCAAACACATCCGAGCTTATATTAATGAGGTGATTTTTAGAAAGTTCCTAGATAACCATAGGAGGCAGGAGATGAGGCTCGTTGCCAAGAGAACCAATCAGTGTGCTCAGAGGGTTGGAAGGGACTCTTGGGAGGGGAGAGCCTGAAGGCTGAAGAGGCCAATGCCAATGATTCAGTCATCCCCTACTATCTGAAACCTCCTTAAAAAACCCAAAAGGACTAAGTTCAAGGACTTCTAGGAAGGTGAATAAGAACACATTCCTGCACTTGGAGGGGGGCCGAACTCAGTGGTATCCTTACATAACTCTTCATCTACTTTTTTATTTGTATCCTTTAAAGTGTTTTTTTTAAAATAATAAACCTGTAAATATAAAAAAATATGTACAAAAAATAAAATAGCAGCTTTCAAACAGTGGCTCCTAAACTCCAGAAGACCATTTGTATCATTATCCAATATCTATGCTCATAATGTGACAAGAACACAGTGCCATGAGTTCATAATTAATGATTGTATTAACTGTAGTATGATCATTAAATGATATTGCCATTTTTTTAAATGCAGCTGTCTGTTTTCTGATGTCTGATCAAAAGCAGCCCCACCCTTCCTATGTAGTCTGAGGAGGGTTTCCTAATGGTGCAGAGAGAGGGTTATATACCCTGGAATGGTACAGACAGGGTGATCCCAATTCTTGGAATGCAGTAACTTCTAAAGCAAATACAGAGTAATTATGCAGGGTAAAAAAAGAAAGTAGCTGAGGAATTCCAAACAAAGATGAGAACAAAGGACAAAATGAATCAGCTTATTTACACTTTGTACAGTAGTTTCAAATAAACTATAGAAAAAGATGAACTCTGGCAGCTTTTCCAATACTTCCTTGAATCTATTACCATTCTCTCTGATTCTGCATATTAATACTGCCTGTGTGATTTTAAAAGGAAAGACATAATAAATGTAAAAGCCTAAATTTAAACTTCCCCTTTTGTCCCATATTGTGCTAAGGCTTGTGAGTTATTTAGGGCCCACTAATTATTTGGGAGCCCTCTTTCAGTTTTAAGATTGAAAAAAAAAGCAAACTAGTAGTTGATGCATTTGGAAAAGAAATGTTTAAAACTATTGGTCCTTTCCTTCATGTACTGCTATGATTCTTCATGTATATGGACAATATTAAAATAAATTTTAAAAAAAACCCCAAGAATCAAATGGTATATGCCCCTCTTTGATAGACTGAAAATAAAGTAACTGTATTTAAAGAAATCACTTACTTATTTTCTTATACATGTTCCCAAGGGCATTATTGACAGGTCACTGTTAATTTGGAAGCATCTAAACTGTTATTAAGAGGACATTAAGAAAAATTGCCGTTTGATTGGTCCTCATCCAATTTTTTCTTTTTGGAACATTTGCATGCATTGTAAAGAAGGATTATTAAATTTTTTCTTTTATTTTTTTATTTGTTCTTTTTAGATATACATGGCAGTAGAGTATATTTTGACATATTACACATGAACATTAGATATTATGTTGGAAGTTGCTCAAAAATTAAATGATTGGGTGCAGTATGATGGTAACATATAATGTTAAAAATATATGTTCAGGAAAGCTTGGGATTTGTTTGAGATTTCCACAGAAAACAGAAGGATATTTAGTGTATTTAAGTGAGATGACTCCAAATCTGAGAACCAATCTATAAGAAAAATTTGAAACCCCAATGGAAAAGACAAAGAGAAGGACAAGCAGCAAAAGTTAGTAAGGAGGACCTTTGTAATGAATGAATTTAAAACACAGCAAAGAAATGTAATTTGGATGTGATATATTACTAAACAAGCTGACATATGTGCAACACATTAAAGTTTGCAACATTTATGATCTTTCTTATTCATAATAGCTATGTAAAGTTTTTAGAGTATTATCCTGATTCTACAGTGGAGGTAGCCTCATTGCTTTCAGAATAAAGTGAGACAAGAAAAAGCTAATTTCAAAAGAAATAAAGCTGAAAAAAAGACTCCTCTAAAAGTTGAAGGTAAGGGAGGGAGAAGGGAAAATGTATGGAAATGGAAGGAGACCCTCAATGTTACACAAAATTACATATAAGAGGTTGTGAGGGGAAAGGGGGGGAAACAAGGGAGAGAATTGAACAACAGCAGATGAGGTAGAGAGGGAAGATGGGAGGGGAGGGGAGGGGGGATAGTAGGGGATAGGAAAGGTAGCAGAATACAACAGTCACTAATATGGCATTATGTAAAAATGTGAATGTGTAACCGATGCGATTCTGCAATTTGTATTTGGGGTAAAAATGGGAGTTCATAACCCACTTGAATCAAATGTATGAAAGATGATATGTCATGAGCTTTGTAATGTTTGAACAACCAATAAAAATAAATAAATAAAAGTTAAAGGTAGCTGGAGCTTGTAATAAAGTTTGTAGTGGGCTGGGATTGTGGCTCAGTGGCAGAGTGCTTGCCTAGAATGTGTGAGGCACTGGGTTCGATTCTCAGCTCTGTGTATCAATAAATAAAATAAAGGTCCACTGACAACTAAAACTATATTTAAAAAAAAAAAAAAAAAGCTTGCAGTATTTAGAGGAGAGAGAGGGCTGTCTCTGACAGGCTGAAAGGTATACCAGGCTGTGCAAAGCTTTGGACGTGGGGGCAAAATACGAACTAAAAAGCTCTTTGATAAGACAAGTGACCTAGTAGAGAAATAGGAAAGATTCTTTTTTCCCCAGAAATATGCAGATGCTTTAGGTTTTATCTTTTTTGAGTCTTTGCTAACCTGAAAAGAAGATTTGAGATCTCTGTTCTGGCTGCAGATTAAAGCCCTAGAATCTAAGAAAGAAAGGTTTTCAAAAATCCATTGAGATTTTTGAAAAACATGTTTTCTAGAGGAATTGAAACAATTTTCATTTTTTTTTTTTTTTGCTTGCTTCCTATTTTTCTTCAAAGCAGGTGCAGTAGATATAGTAGCCAAAAACACAGCTCTATGTATAATCCATCTGAGAAAGAAGGGAATATGTCATCCTTCCCACAGATCTGAAAATTAAAATGTGGAAGTTCATCATCTCTTGTTAGGTATGGCTCATCAAAAAAATATCATAATTATAAAAGTTGTTGCAATATCTTGCTATTATCATCTGTGCACAGTGAAATATTTTAGTTCTTTGGGTATTGAGAGCTTTTCTAAAATCTAATTTAAAATATATAATTATTTGGGTATGAGGCAGTTTACTAAAGATCATAAAATTAGTGTTGAAAATAGTAAATACCATTTCTTTGTAAATTCGTGGAGAGCTGAGCCATCAATACTATTTTCTGCAAAAAAAAAAAAAAAAAAAAAAAGAGGAAGAAAAGAAAAGAAAAAGTTTACATTGCTTTCTTCTATTGGTTGTACAACTTGGATGAAATGGCTTTTCACTACTGGATGGTCAGTGATGAACCACTTCTCTGTGGGTTGAATTGGTGGTGATTTATTTGTTGCTGATAAGCACTATTTGCATGAGAGTTACAGAGCACACAGTTCTACACAAAAGAAAGGGGAAAGTGAAGGGAGAAAGAATGAAGGTCAAGTTGACAATGGAAGGGCTCTGTTTTGGGGTCTTTTTCTCTTGCTGGGGTCAAAGGGATGCGTCCATGACAAATGAATGCTTTGAGGTGAGAAGGGCAAAAGCACTCTAATAAAAGGCTTCAGGAAAGAGTGTAGGCGACCTAGGGAAATGTGCTGCGGTCAAGTTTAATCCTGGGAAAAGAGGCTCTGGAGAAAGCAGATGAGAAAGATAGGAAGGAAGATAGGGAGGGGTGTGGAGGGAGGAAGGGGAGGAGGTGGGGGCCTGAAAAGTGAGAGGGAGCAAGCACTAATTGTGGCTAAGACAACCGGGTTGTGGGCCACAGGGTGGGGAAAAGTGAAAGTCCAGAAGGAGGAGAAGGCAGAGCCCCGCGGACCCAGACCGGGCCCTTGGCCGGGAAGGCACAGGGCGCGGGGGCAGCTTGGCTCGCCTCAGGCCCCCTTGGCAGCCTCAGGCGTTGGCTCCTCGGGGCTCCCTCCCTCTTCAGCGCATTGTTCCTTTGCCGGGAGACAAGGAAATTGCCTTTTGATTGCGGAAGTCCGCGGACTGGGCTCGGGGCGAGGCAGCGCAGGTCAGAATGGCAGCGTGGGAAGGGCTGTGCGCTGCCTGCCCCCGCCGACTGTCGCGTCCGCAGCCCGCCCCGGGCGGCAGCAGAAGGAGCAGCAGCGGTGGCCCTTGTCTGTCTCCCGTCCGGAGCGAAGCGCGCTGCGCCCGCGGGGCGCGCTGAGCGCGCGCAACAAGTGACTCCCACGCCTGCCCTCGGGCGGCTCCGCGTCCAGCCCCCTGGGTTTAATCCGGGTCTTAACCCCTGAGCGCAATGCTGAACCATGGAACCCGACTGACCTTGTGGATTACACTGAGTTTACTGCAGGTGAGTGGCCCCAAAAGGGGTCGGCCGCTAATGCATCCCTCTCCCTGAACCAAACTCTACTTTCCGCTCTCCTAGGCGGTGCTTTGAAGGAAAGGTGGCAAAATTTCTTCTTCTATCCTGGGAAGAGCAATCCTCTTCGGAAACTCCCAAAGCGACATCTCATCCTGCTGTCAAAGGAAAAAAGCCACCTTCTCTCTCCATCTGCTCCCAGGGAGGGCAAACTAGGGAGAAAGTTGCCATTTGCTTTCCCTTTGACCCCTCACCCAGGCTGAAGGGCAAAGGGACAGGCTGAGGCTGGGCGTGAGGGGCGCAAATAGAGACGACTTGGGGAGTCTCACTGTGAACCCATCTCCCTGGTGGTTCGGACTGCCAGTTTAAACTGTGGTCTCTGATTCCTTTGCAGACTGGACTGGCAGAGTCAGTGAGATGTAACTTCACCCTGACGGAGTCCAGGGTCTCCAGCTTGTCGGTGTCTATCCAGTGGAGAACTTTAGGGTCACCATGTAACTTTAGCCTCATCTATAGCGGTGACACCTCAGGGCCTTCATGGTGCCACCCCATTCAGATAGACAACACTACCTATGGATGTACCCCCAAGGATTTACAAGCAGGAACCATCTATAACTTCAGGATTGTTTCTCTGGATGGAGAAGAGAGAACCGTGGTCTTGCAAACAGGTAAAGGGCAACAGGTGCAATTGGAGAGCTAAGTCACTCTAGGTTGGACCCTGCCTTTCCAACCTGGTGTTTCATTTGAGTTCCAGGAATACAAAAGATAAAGGTACAAAAATCTGTGAAGATAAATATTGACGAGGATTTCTAGTCTCCTTAGGTCTGACCAGAAGTAGCTTGGTTGACTTTGAGAGATTCCCTTGGTGCTGAAAACGGTCACTGACTAGCCACTGTAAGAGGGGAAGGGATGCAGCAAAGAGAAATCTTGGGCTGTGGAGGGAATTTGTTAAAGTGTTGTGGTTTGAGCTTCCATCACATTAAGTTGTCAAATTCTGGAATAATTTTAAGTAAATGTTTTTGTAATGGATACTGGAAGTGCAATGATTAAGGATATGCCTTTCCTCAACTTAGTTTTATTTTTAGAACCAGGACATAAAATCATCAGGAATAGAATAGAGCTATTCATAGTGGAAAATTAGGAAATTTCCTTGAGATGAGGATTCAAATTATTTTGTGTCTTTTGAGTAACTAAAAGAGCATAATACCAGATAACATGTTTTGATTACACCTCAAGTCAGTTGTTTTCCTTACACTTTTTGTAAATCCTTCCATGTGTGTATGGTAAGAGTTTGACTTTCTTGCCTGTGTTCTCTTATCTGCAAAATGAGAGTGTTAGACTAGGTCATTGAGGTCCAGGTTCTTACTAAGTGCAGGGGCTGTCAAGTATATTACCTCACTTAATCCTCATAGCTATCCAAAGGTGTGCTTTGAATTCTCTAATGACTTTGATGTTCTTTGACTTCATTAGCCTTTAATATTATCTCTGTTTGTTGCAATAACAAAGCTTTATTTTCTCCAGAAATCCAAATTGAAGCAAAAAAATTCTGAAAGTTCAATTAAGAAATGTGTTATCCTTACTATTCTTTCACATTTTAACCTGAACAAAAATCATTTATTGAGCCATATAGTTCTTGAAAGAGGTGTGAGAACATTCAGTTTGAAGGACAGTTACAACAAGGCAGGAAATTTAACTGGGTTCTTGTAACCAACTATTAATTTTATTTCTTTTCAAAGAAAAAATTTATAATGCCCAATTACATCACTTGACTTACTCCAGATGAAACTTTTAGGTTCTTTCTGAGAATTGCAGTAATTTAAATTGAAAAGAGAAGCCACTTGTTAAGAATTTGCTTGGATTTTACAGGGAACCAAAGAGAGACTTAAACCAACCACAAAATTAGAACATTTTATAGAAGTTTCAGCAGCTGGGTTTTCGGTTATAACATGGTTGGTTTCTTGGTATTTGAAGACAGTTCTGTGAAGACTCATATTACACTGTGAAATTTATAACATAAAACTTCCAGATGTGTTAATTACTTTGGAAAAGGAGTTCAGCCAACTGTATGTGTGTTCAGTGGGGCAGAGAAATTTGTCAAAGTAGAAGAGGTTTTAGATGTCTGTTGGAGAAAAGATGAAGACCTGAAAAAGCCAAAATACAGTTAACCCAGAGGATTTACTTTTTTGGAAAAAAATTATAATAGAAAAAGAGTCACTAGGGGTGTTACTAATATAGAATAGATTTTGAGTTTAGTTATGCAGATAGGTGTCTCAAATCCAAAGGTATCTGTGAAATGAAAAAAAAATGCTTGCATCTTATTGTTTATGTTGAATAAAACAAGACTTCATTATCACCTACAATATGTTAGCATTCAGGATTCTCATCATTCTTCTTAAGGAGATTCTTTTTACAAGTACTTTTAACTACAAACTTTATGAGCTTCAGGATAAATGGGAAGGATGAAAATTACAGGTGGTGTTTAGGTAATGATATTTTTTGCATGCTTTTTGTATGATGGTATAACCCTTCTTGGAATTCTCTATATTTTAAAATAATTTTTTAATTTAAATAGAACTTCTTAAAATTAAGGTATTTTAGAAATTATTTCAGGAAGGATTTTTTTTAGTTGTTTGTTATTTATTTGTCAGTGGTACTTTCTGTATTTTAAGAACATAGGTGAATTGTTCAGTCCATTAAGAAAAAATGCTAGCTTTCTCTTAATGTAAATACTGATTGCTAAGCTACAGAAATTAGTTCCATAAATCATGGTTTACTGTTACAAAAGTAATTCTAACTAGTACAATATTAAGTCTGAGACAAAACATCAAGTAAGTCATTAAAAATGTGAGTGCTTTCCTTATTACATTATGCCTATCTTATCTGTCTAGAATAAAACAGAATGAGAGCATGACAAGACTTGGATGTAGATACAGTAATTGCTTAGGTTATCTCTGTATCATTTCATGTGTGAGTTTTCTGGATAAATGGTCTCAAATAGCTAGTTATTTTGGTTTCCTATAGACTTGACCTTTAAGATTTAAAAAATTTTTTATTAAATGGGTAGTATTTTAGCAACAATTTCCACTCCAGATTTAAAATCAGAATTGAAAAATTTGGATTCAAATTCAGTTCAGTAAATATTTATTGTGCATGACACTATAGAGAACAATGGCAGGTAGTGATTGGTGAGCTAATAAAGATGACAAAAAGTGGTCCCTGCCCTTGTAGTCTTGAGCAGCTGTGAGACAAGGTTATGGTGAAGATGACAACAGAGCTCTACCACATTTTCCTGAATGAAGACTTTGCCCTGCCTTGAGTATGCCATACCACAGAGGAGAAGACACTCAGCAGTTCTCAAGTGTCATTAAATGGCCAATTTAAGAAGAATATGTTTTGAAAGTCAAGTTGTTTTTGTTGAGAAATCACCAGAAATAACAGGTTGAACATACCAAATAACGAACAACTTGACACTTTTGGAAGTCTAGAGCAGAGGTTGCAAACAAATAGCCTCTAGGCATGTGTAGGTGTCTAAGTACTAGCTATGTTCTGTCTGACTCCTGTAGTGCTTGTGCAAAAAAATCCAAATGTATGCATTTTCTTAAACTATTGGAAGATTTGGAAAACCATCTGAATGCATTCTAAAGGGTATTTGAATTTATAACTTCTTGAATGTTCACATCTAGAACTTTTGGAGGCATTTTTTGATCCAGAATTAAGATATAGGTTTTTATTGAGTACATGGCAGGTATACAATCAATATTGATTAAATGGCTGGATAGATATATGGATAGGAATAGATCTATAGATAGGTAGATAGTAGATAGAGGTAGATGTGAATTAATGAAATGAACATTTTTATAACAGAATGAACATGTAGTAATAATATTATCTAATCTTTCTGGCCTATGAGTACATTATGGAGCCCAGAGAAATGGTGTAGAGGTAGAGAACTTTACCTGTGGAACAAATATTTCAGTGGCATTTGCCTTCTTTTTAATCTGTCTTGGCTACTTAGTAATTAGCCTAGGAATAGAAAGACAAACCAAAATAATCCTGAAATTATTTTAGTTATTTTAATACAACTGATTCTTTCTTCTTTACTGAAAAACATTTAGTGACTTTAATTATCAAATTACCATATCAGCTATTATTTTCCCTTCAAAATGGTGTTTATTATGGTGGTTAGCTAGGGCTGCCATAACAAAATCCCACAGACTAAGTGACTTAAAAACAGAAATTTATTTTCTCACAATCCTGGAGGCTGGAGGTCCAAGGTGTCTGAAAGTTTGGTTTTCTCTGAGACGTCTATCCTTGATTTGAAGATGGTGGTATCCTCACATGGTTGTCTCTGTGCATGTCTGTGTCATCATCTTTTCTTAAAAGAACACTAGTCATATTGGATCAGAGCTACCTCATGGCTCCATTTTAATTTCATCGCTTCTTTAAAGGCCTCCAAATACAGCCTCATTCTGTATTTGGTACTGGGTTTACAGCTTTGATATATAATTTTGCTGGAGACAGAATTCATCTCATAATACAAAGCTTTAACATAAGCCACTATTTCTCAAAACTCTCTGTCAGTTACTTGCATCAAAATCTCTTGCAAAGCTTGTTATAAAAATATTCCTGGTTTCTGCTCTACCTGAAGTGAATCAGAATTTAGAAGAAATGACCTGGGGAACTCTATTTGTCAAACATCAAAGTGAATCAAGGCACCGAGATTCAAGAACTATTGACATCATTTTTCTATTATCTATTAGCATTAAGATTTTGGGATCATGCCTCTTTGTACATGGTTAAATCTATAAGACCTGGGAATATTTTTTTTCCTAGAGGAGAAACATACTTTTATTTTTTCTATGTGCTTTTGTAGCATGCAATCATTGTCACCTTCTGTACTGAAAACACAAAGTATAAAATATATACTACATTTACCATATATTCTTTACTTTGACCCTGTTGCAATCCTGTAGAGTGGGTATTGTGAAGGGGCAGGTGGCACAATGGGAGTTCTGAAAGCAGACTGCCCCCATTGCTCACCAGCTAAGCTTTTCTGTGCAGATTACCTAAATACCCTCCCCACCACAGGGCTGCTTCCTAATCTATATAGTGAAGACAATAACAATATTGATACTTGCTTTATAGAGTTGTTACGAGATTTTTAATTCATACATAAAACCTGGAATCATTTTGTCACCTACAAGGTCTGTAGTAAGTGTACTATTATTACTACATTCAGGTTGGATATGATATTGATCTTCATAAGAACTGATGATTTTCATAAATACACACAGTCGACACAGTGTAGAGCCCAAGCTTCCCCTAATATTCTTTCCATTATTCTGCAGGAAGGATTTTTTTGGGGGGTGGGAAGGTACCAGGGATTGAACTCAAGTGCACTCAACCACTGAGCCACATCCCCAGCCTTATTTTGTATTTTATTTAGAGACAGGGTCTCATTGAGTTGTTTAGCGCCTCACCTTTGATGAGGCTGGCTTTGAACTCGTGATCCTCCTTCTTCAGCCTCCCAATCCTCAGAGGACAAAATATATTACACTATAGCTTAAATCTATATACACTTTTCCTGCACAAGGGTAAAGTAATGATTAAATATGTTTTAGTATGAGGAAATAGGGAGATGTTATTGATTTTTAATTGTGTTGAAGTT